AAAAAAAAAAATGAAAATATGATATTAAAATAAATAATTAAACAAATAATTTAAGGACCCTTTGCCCTAGCTGAAAATGTTTGGATATAAATTTTTTTGGTTTTGTTTTGATTTTTTTTGGTTTGGTATAGTTAATTTTAAAAAAAGTAGGATGGTTCGATGTTAGTGGAATTTTGAGTTTATATTCAAATAATATTTAAACTAAAAAAGTTAAGGTTGATTTGATGTAAAAGTAGCAGAGCGATAGTGTGAAGTGATGATTAGTTAAATTATGTGAATGTATGAATAATGAATTAAAGTTGATGCAATGTGTAAGAATGATTGAGCGATATTATTTAATGGACTAGATCAAAATGGCTCAATTAAATTCTAGTGCTTCTTCTATTAGTGAAGTTTTTAGAAAAAAAATATACGAAACGACGCAATGCACCTTGGGTCGCTACGGAAACAGCCTCCTTGTATAATTACAAAGGTAAGGTCTGCATACAACTTACCCCCCAAACTCCAACCAGTTGGGAATATACTGGGTATGCTGTTGTTGTTATATTGATAATATTGCGTATAGTGAGGTTGAGTTAAATTTGACGATTGGTTAAAACAATTTGCTATAGAGCCATCGGATGACTCAATTTATGGAGCAATCAACACTTATTCACCAATAATGTATTGACACGTGCCCTACAATAAACACACTTAAAGACACAATACATTAAGTGGTGGAGTGTAGAAATTTAAATAGATTAATTCATAGTTTGTGAAAATGATGGGGCTCGAATTGCAATTTTCATCTTCTCATATGGTTGAAAATACAATTTCGAGAAAACTAAGAGGCAGGAATAGAAATAATGTGAATGAATAAATTAAAGAAGGACAGAACAACACCAATCATTACACTAGACTTCATTGTAGTGAGCAAGAAAACCTGCAGATGTTCTGAAAATCCCAAAATTCCTTCTTCTTTCTTTTTCGTTTCTTTTAATTTTTCCGGTAATATTATCGCCGTTCTCCTCTGTAAATTCGTATGTTCATAATTCAATTGGGGCTTTCGTTCTTTAGTTTTCTATATATATCTTTGCGTGGACGATTAAAAAAATGCAATCTTTGCTGGTTTTCTTCCTAAATTATTTGTTTCCGATTGTGAATGCTCGCATTTTTTTTTTTTTTTCGATTATGAGCAATTTGAACATAATCCCATGATTGTACTTTTATTTTCAGCTATGGATCCAAATTTTTCCGGCAACGAGTGGTTGGTCGCCCGTGTTCAGCAACTGGAGAGCGGTATGCGTCCGTTCATGTCAATTCGGCTTTATTTCTTCTCTTTAATTATGCAAAAATGATCGTTCAAGCTTTATACTGGGTGATGATCGTTGAAGGTGTTGAAAGGATTGATTTTTTAGATATATTCATCGGTCTGAGAGGTGTAAAGCTTGAATCTTTATCTTGTGATAATATCATATAGTGGATACTGGCTTAGCATTTACCAGATATGTGTGATAATTCTTGTTTGGCTAACTAATTGGGTAACTCTGCCTGAGATTTTGGAGGTTAGTAAACTCAAATTTTTGTGTGAGAGCCTAACCGTTAGGCGAATTGACCCGTCATATTTTTTTTTTACAGAAATGCATACTTATGCTGCGGAATGTCATACTTTTGTTTTTGTTGTTTCTTAGAGGATGAAATTTTAGTTTGGAAGTCCACATATATGTTCAAAGCTGTCTAATCGTTAGACCTACTAACAACAACCTTACTGTTGGGGTGGACCTAGGCAACCGTAGGAGCACGGGCCCATGTGCAATTTTCTTTAAAAAAATTAGTACATATATAATTATATTGTAAAATAATACAGAGAGATTTTCTTGAAATTTTAGTTGTTTGCATTTTATATTTGTATTATGTTGTAGGCAACATATATAAATGAGTTACATAGATTTTCCACTGAAGTCAGCATTAATTTTGATACATATTGAATTTTAGATGTTTTTAAAATTATATTTGTAAGTTTAAAATTAACTACTAAATTGTGTTTGTCATTGATTTTTAAATAACAAAATATTTATCTTTATTATAAATAAGTCTATGAATCTGTCGTTGTAAGAATATCCAATGCAAAAGAAAAAAAATGTTGGTATTTGAAAAAGATATATTTAATGAGATTTGAATTTATGTAATTATGAGTGATATAATATATAAAAACATGTAGAGAATAAATATCATTTTTTTTGCACTTTGTAAAAGTTACGTTTGTGCCCCTCAATCTTACGAGTCTGCGTCCGCCCCTGCTTACTGTTAGTCCTTGGGGGGGTTTGTGTTGGTGGTAGATTCTAATGAATCGAATGCTTATATTTAACTAACTGAGTTCATGAAGATTTCCATCGGCCACCTTTTGTTTAGGTATTTGCAGTTGACCTTTAGTTTAGGCCTTGGTTGCTCATATTTAATCTTTCCTGCAGAACGTAATGAGCTGCACAAAGATATCGAGCAGTTGTGCATGCAACAAGCGGGCCCGGCCTATCTTGGAGTGGCCACCCGAATGCATTTCCAGAGGTGAGGAACTATTGAGTATATGATATATTTGATTTGATCCCATTGCAATTAAATATGTATGAAGTTTGTGTTCCGTTTGGCCTCCCGAATGATGAGATTCTTATTATCATCCTTTCTTCTTCTTCTTTTCTTTAGGATTGCTGCATTGGAGCAGGATATTGAGAGCTTGAATAAAAAGTTGGCTGCATGCACTAGAGAGAACCAAAATCTTCAAGAGGAGCTATCCGAGGCTTATGTTATTAAAGTGAGACCTCCTTTGATTTACTCGCATCTGTTGTCTGATATTTCTTTTCTTATAAATCTTACATGATGCTATTTTCAGAGCCAATTAGCCAATCTACATAATGCAGAAGTATCAAATCTCTCTCTCTCTCTCTCTCTCTCTCTCTCTCTCTCTCTCTCTCTCTCTCTCTCTCTCTCTCTCTCTCTCTCCTTCTCTTGTTTAGCTTATAGATGTGATTATTTGTATCCATATGTTATCAAGACTAGCCATATCCTTTTTCTTTGTTTCTGTATTATTTGCTAATGCGCGTGCTTTCCCTGTCATACCCAATAAAAGTATGTCAATTTCAATGAACTGCAAGAACTGCTTGTTTGTAAAATCATTATAGTTATCTTTACATTATTGGGAAAGGATCTCACTTTAGGCCTCCTGGTTTTCTATATATTATCACAAACCTCATGGGTGGGTTTCATATTCGACATTACTTTTCTTTAGAAAATTGACACCTGGCTGTCACAATCTATACTCCAGAAATACTAAATCTGAGAAATATTTGTCAAAAACTATATCTTTAGTTGACATCATTGTTGCTTTTGTGCCAGAATGCTGAGGCTGAGAAGCAGCTTAAATTTTTCCAAGGTTGTGTTGCCGCTGCTTTTGCCGAGCGAGATAATGCAATACTTGAGGTTAGAATTGTCTTTTCTCATGGGACTTTGCTTACCTTATTACACTTCTTTATTCCTCTGTAGTTGTCATCTAGTGAACAGACCAAGGGCTCCTTTGTGCGAGCTAATTCCCTCATTTTTATTGTTCCGAGTGATTTTGGACAGGCTGAAAAGGCTAAAGAAAAAGTGGAGCTCATGCCACAAGAGCTGAACAAATGTCAAAGAAGGTATTTTGTGCTTAATTCTAGATATGCCGCACCACAGAGTACTGTTTTAGAGAAAAAGATGAAGAAACTCGAAACTTTATAATTATGGTGTTACTTAAATTCTGCTCTTGATTTTTATATTTAATTTGCATTATCTTCACATATAAATTTGTTCTTGGTTGGTTGGCTATTGCTTGCTTCTCATTACAGTGATAATTATATATATATTTTATCTGTAGGGTGGAAGAGCTGAGCATTGAACTTCTTGAAGAGAAGGAACTGACCACGTCTCTCCGTATTGATTTAGAAAAGCATGAAAGGCAGATTGGGATATTCAAAGAGGTAAAATTTTTTTACCATCTAGATTAAAATTCTCTTTTCAACAAAGAGAGGTTCTTTAGTATTTTCTCTACTGAAGAATATGTCAGTCCATTTGCTTTAGTGCTTAACTGAAAAAAAAAGAAAAGAAATAACATTACACTCATGTGATTTACGTTTATCTGTAACCACTGAATTCTAAGGACATAAGTTTATTACGGTAGGTTATTGACAAGTTTTACCACATCAGAGAATGTACTATGGAAGATACTACTGATGCAAGTTGGGAAGAGAAATGTGAACTTTTGTTGCATGATTCGGACGAGATGTGGAGGTTCCAAAATGATGAGGATGCTTCCACTTCCAATTACATTGTAAGTCTTAATAAATAATTATCAACTAATCTTTGTTTGCACTTCTGAACTTAGATATAACTGTTTGTTTGGTTAGTAATTCGTTCCCAATTTTAATGATTTGTGAAATGCAATCATGTCTAGAACTCCATTAATTGGATTCACTACTTCCCGCTCGTTTTTATTTATTTATTTATTTATTATTTATATATTTATGCTTGCGGTGTGCAACACATTGGTGATGCAGAGTAGTAACTTCTGTGGCCTAAACTTTTTTGTTCCTTTTCTTTTTTCCCATCTAGCTTTGGTCTATTTCATTTTCCTCCTAGAATTACCTGTCTACACTTCATGTTTTATAACCACGTGATAACAGTGAATGCCATGCTGTTAAATATTTATGCTTTTTTAGTTCGACTTACATTGCTCTTTCTGGTTTGCTTATCGAAAAGATTGAGTTCTGTGTGAAATTTGGGTAAGATCCACATATGGAGAAATTAGAAATATTAGTTTTTGAACTTCACACTTGAGGTAATGTTGCTGATTAAATTTTCTTCAGACAGAATTCTCTTGAGGCAGAGATCGAGACTCTGAGGAGACGTATCGATAATTTGCAAAACAAGCTTCAAGTTGTGAGTCTCTCTCTCTCTCTCTATATATATATATATATTTCTCTCTCTCACAATTTGATTACGGCTGCGACTAGGGGCTGGAAATCGAAACTCATCTGAAGAAGAAAGTTCGTAAGCTAGAGAAAATGGAGGTAATGAATTTATTTATGCTATATGCATGATGATGATTATGAAAATCTGAGGTTTCATTTTTGCTCATATAATCTCCAAACTTTGTATTACAAGAAACTCGGAGCAGAGAATATCAAAGAGCAGCTATCTGCCTTAAAGCATCACCATTCTCAATACAAAAACGATATCAATGATCTACTCGACGGGGGTTACTCGGAGCTGAAATCACTTCATGAATTAGTTGTTGAGAAAATGAGCCACTTTGTACTGAGTCAGGAACAAAGCAATTTAGAGGCATCTTTAACACAAGACGAGGAATTGCATGAAAGCGAATGCAAAGATGTGCATGTTAATGCTGATTCCAGTTCTGGTTTGACCACTAAGGTACGCTTGTTATGATGAAAGTAAAATTTAGAATAAAAGGAAAACAACATAAAACAAGATTCGAGTACCAATCTCGTGTCATGAAAAGCTGAAAAATGCTTACTTTTGTTTAATTTTTATTCTTTTTAATGGTGCGAGTATTATAATCCACAAGTTTGAATTTATTAAAATTGTAATAACGCTCCAAATTTTTTTAGTTTGTTCCTTCTCTTTTTTTTTTTCGTTTTTAATTGGTGATGCCTATATTGACGCATGATATAGTTTGCAAATCTTAAAAGTTATAATATACTATTACTTTTCTTGGCAAAGAAAGCATTACTTTATGATTTGTGTGAATGAGTGTAGAACTTTAATTTTTTTTTTCAGAATAATGAACATGGCTTACCGACTATGGCTGCTCGTGAAACTAGCGATACATCTGAAGCACTTGCGCTGGCATTGCAGGAGAAGGTTTTGTCTGACTAAGCTCAATCCTTCACGTTTAGCATTGTAAGAACAAATCAAAAATAACTTGCGGGTTTTTCTCTGTGTTCAGGTCGAGGCGTTATTACTTTTATCTCAGCAAGAAGAAAGACACCTACTTGAGAGGAATGTAAATGCAGCTTTGCAGAAAAAGGTCGAGGAACTTCAGAGAAATTTACTGCAGGTAAATATTGCTTGTCTTCGTACTAAATTAATTCAAAATTCTCATCTTTTGACGACCAGTTGGATAAATTACACAAAAATTGTCTTATGGAAATTCGTATCTTAGTGATGGATAATTTTCCCCACTGTTTACCTTTATTTTGGTCGTCTTTTAATTGGTTTTAGGTTACGAACGAAAAGGTGAAAGCTCTTATGGAGCTAGCGCAACTGAGGCAGGACCAATATTCACTTCACGAGTATGTCTTATTTATTTATTTATTTTTTTCTTTTTTTTTATAAAATTACATCCTGCACTCAGTTTGAAAAAAGGTCTTTCCCGTTCGTAACTTTTCAAACTATTATGAAAAGAACGCGTGAATTCGTGCAGAAAGAGCAGTCAAGAAAGTGTACAAGGAAAGCCAGCGAGTGAAATTTTCGGAGGAGAGATAAAAGCTGGTCAGGAAAAAGACAGTAAACTGAAAAATTTACTAAGGAAAAGTTATTTAACACGATGGGTCGGAGGTTCAGAAGGAAGTGGTGCTGATACGCATCACATGGACTTTGCAAGGTTCGTGGATTATTATTTTTTGGCCCTCGGGTTAAGTTTAGTTACCAGAACAAAAAAAAAATCAATTCATTATAAATAACGTTCTTTGATTCGGTTCTTATTTCCAATTTGGTGTGTGCAGGATGAAGATTGAAAATGCGACCCTTAAGGAGAGCTTGGAAAGCATGGATCATCTACTCTCTTCCGTACGAAGACTCCGGATTTCACTTTTCAAGGTAGCTTTTGCTCGTGTTTGCTTTTCTCCCTTCTCTCCGATGGCCGAAAAAAAATAATAAAAATCATTTTCGAACACAGTGAACTTAACCGATAAGCTAACATATAGCCGATAAGCTAGCTTATAGCTTTTAAGTGTTTTTTGAGCTTATAGCTGATAACTTATGACTTATGGTTGAAAAACTAGCTTATAAGATAAAAGTGTTTGGTAAAAATATAAGCTAGCTAAAATAAAATTTTCAATTGACTTATTTGAAAAGCTAACCAAGGAAGCTTATGAGATAAACTCGAGCTTTTTAGAAAACTTATCCTACCGAACCAAAGTATTTGAATACATATTTCAATTGACTTATTTGAAAAGCTAACCAAGGAAGCTTATGAGATAAACTCGAGCTTTTTAGAAAATCTCATCCTACCAAACCAAACTTATATGAATACATGAAGCTTATAAGCTAATCAAATAAACTATAAGCTAGGTAATATGCTTACCAAACACATTTTAACTTCAGCCTAATCACACATTACTCTAGTTACTTTCTCTAAAACTTGCGGAGAAAACCCTCGTGGCAATTGATCGTTTTTTCAAATTTTGTGCCCCTCAAGAGTCGGAGAATAATTTTTTAGTTTCATATTTATCTCAAAATGAATTTTACCGAAACCACAAAAACTAAACATGTTTATCTCAACTGCATCCGATTCTTTGTAGGTAAAAGATTCATCTAATATGTCGTCAACTGAAAACACGAGCTACTTGTCTACCACCATCGACCAAATCATAGTTGAGGCGGACCTCGTAAGAACGGCCCTCGGCAGCTCGATTCCCATAAGCTGGTCAGCCGAGGCTGACCAATCGCACGATGGCTCGGGTTTCGAGAAGCTGGATTTTGTCTCGGCTGTTGGATTCGAGATGGTGGAGCTCTTGATATTTGCTGCTCAGGTCCTTAGGGACCAAATTCCCTTGGGCACCAAGGGGTCGAAATTGGAATAATGCGAAAATTGCATCTTTGTTTGGTTTCGATCGGGAGATTTTGCCGAAATCTTTTGCTGTTCTTTTGGGTGCTAAAACATAGGGGTGTTTCCGATTAACGATTAGATCGACTCATACAAAAGTTTGTTTGCGTTTTAGACTTACAGTGTTTGTAATAACTATTGTATGAAAGGATTCCATTTGACAAGAAGAGAACCATTTATGTTGTTCTGTATGATATAGAAACAAAATTACACTAACCACACAAAATTAATGTATTACCAAATCTTTTCTATGTAAACAAATTGTTCTTAAAGAAGACTTAAATAAATTTAATTTTTGAAAACGGTACTGAAAATACATATATTTATTATAATTGAAAAAAAAAAACATTTATAGAGAGCCCTTCCATGCCTTTTATAATAATGAATGAACTTATTTTAGATTTACAATATCCTTTAAACTATAGTATTATAATTGTTAAATTGATTATAAATTGGTGTCATTTTATAGAATAATTTGTTGGCAATTGTTCCATTAAAATTGCTTTTGCCAATTTCGAATGTACTATTTTTTTATTTTTTTATTTTTTTGTAGTAAACATCCTGTGAGCTCGTGCTCTTCGTTTAACGTAATGCCCTCTGTTCTGATGGATATTATAAGAAAAAATCGTATGCGGGCATTTGGTCTAGTGGTATGATTCTCGCTTCGGGTGCGAGAGGTCCCGAGTTCGATTCTCGGAATGCCCCTGTCTCACATTTTCATTCTCTCTTTTATTTATTTTAAATAAATTTCTCTCCCACCAAATGAAAAAATCGGGTCTCACCTTATAATAACCATTTCAAATAAACGCCAGTATAAGGCAAAATTGCATATAAAAACACCATTTTTTATGTTTTTTCATTTTAATCACGACCTTTGCATATTAGCACTTAAGTACATGACCTTTCATCCCTTTGCAAGTCGAAGCATGTCTTCCATCTCATGCACAAATTAAATGACGTGGCTTGCTGGATTACACATGTGGAATTAAAAAAAAAAATGAAATTCATGTCGCCCATTCTGGTAATAACACAGGACTATAAAAAAAACACACAAAATCCACGTCGTCTCTCCCCCAAAATCGATTTAGCGATTATTTAAGTCTCCCGTCACACACATGAACCTCATTTTGATCTTCAATTTCTGTGAAGATGGCGAAATTTCTATGAAAATTGTAAAATTTCTGTGAATCATATGCTCTTCAACTTTTGTAAACTTTCTCCATTACCCTGAATTAGCTCTCCAAAATTCCAAATTCCTCTCCCCATACAAACCCTAATTGTGTTTTCAAAATCCCCAAAAAATATCAAGTGGATCTAGCAGTTTAACCACAACTCCTCAACCTCATATGTGTTTATTTTCGAATTGAAGCCTTGGATTTGTCGATTTTGTCTTTGAGATTTGAGGTTGGCGCCTTTACAGAGATTTTTTTTTAGATTTGATTCTTTCTTCGATTTGGGGATTTTTATTATTTCTCCTCGGGGACGTGGATTTAAATTTTAGTGTTTTAATTTTGTGGTGCAGTGACGTGTCAAAAAGACTTTCCAAAGTGTATTTGCATTTTTCTCGTTCTTTTTTTTTTTTAATTCCACATATGTAATCCGGCAAGCCACGTCATTTAATTTGTGCCGGAGATGAAAGGCATGCTTCGACTTGCAAAGGGGTGAAATGTCATGTACTTAAGTGCTAATTTGCAAAAGTCTGATTAAAATGTAAAAACATGAAATGTGGTGCTTTTATATGCAATTTTGCCTGCCTTAGTATAAATACAAATATTGCTCAAACTCCAGCCACAATTAATGTGATGGATATTATTATCTTTTCTATGCAACAAATACAAAAGCCTCTGTAAAACATGGATCAATCTTGAATTTTATGTTTTCTTACTTGTTATAATGAAGATCGATCCGGGCTTTCACTCTCCATTAATTAATATTCAGTTTCTACTCTAACTCTATATTTAAATAGTCAGAAATCTGAACAAGAATATTAGTTATTTTTTTTAATAAGGACGCGTACAAAATAAGTAGATGGAATTACAAGAATTACCATGCACATTGCTGGTGGAGAGAAGCCAAATGAGGGCTAATTTGGAACTGTAAACTAAACGAGAGAAAGAAGAATGTTTCGGATCTTGATAAACTTACGTTCATCAAGAATATGCATTAGTAAGCGAATACGAACAATTTTAGATATCGTACGTAACAATCTTGGGAGTTTTCAGTTTTCAAGTGTTAGCGAAAGAATAGGATCATATTGTAAGAACTCCCAGATGAATGAGTTGAATAATACATGATGTATTATATATTTACCTCTTTATTACAGAAGAATTACTCAATATAGGCTGCAGCAAGCTGATAACAAAGCGGAAAACCCTTGGATAGACGAAATACTAATTGCTATTGTTATTTATTCTGTCAAAAGATGAGAATAATTACAATTCTCAATCGAATCGGGCATTTGGTCTAGTGGTATGATTCTCGCTTTGGGTGCGAGAGGTCCCGAGTTCGATTCTCGGAATGCCCCTTTTTTTGTCCCCTTTACATTTTTTATTGACCATCTCTTTTTCCTGCGAACAATCAATACTATATACTATGAATCTTTGATCACAAAGAAAATAATCAAAGATTAAAAATAATATTTCTACGTTACTATAATATTTTTAAAGTTTTTTTGAGATATTAAGAATATTTGTGTATTTAACAGTGAACTTGGACTTTTTAAGTTTTTTTTAATTTAATTAAAAGGCCCCCAAAGAGATTCATTTTAAGATTATGCAAAGTTTTTTTATTAGGTTGTCAATTTATTTATCACTTATATTTGTCTGAATTTTGTAAAACTTACAGAGATATGTAAAAAAAAATAAAAAAATAAAAAAATAAAATAATAATAATAATAATAATAATAATAATAATAATTTACACGAAATGTCAATCATACCTTTAGCCTTAAGAATTTTAAGGATTATTTTTTAAAATTTGAAAATCTTAGGAAGACTTATATTTCAAAATGTTTTTAAATTGTTACTAAAAATTTCATAAATCCTAAATTAATAATTTTATAATTATTCAATATAAATTTTTTTATTTATATTACAGACCCGTACGACAGATCCATGGGTACACATGTACTATTAAACAAATAAACATAACATAACCCTACCCAAAAACAGAACCAAGAGACCGATGGCGAATCTACATGCATTAGTAGGGGTCAGCTGACCCCTATAGATTTCAAAATTTTTAGTATAAAATACTGTTCAAACACTGTTTATTAGGTTAATGACCCCACTAAAAAATATTGTTGACCCCGATGAATGATGAGGCTGGCTCCGCCCCTAAGAGACCCCGATTACATTGGAATATTGAACCGCGACCTGACTGGATAAATTGGTTCTACCATTCCATTGGACGTCAAATTCGTCTTCTCCCGCCGGAGGAATTTCCGATGTTATTTTTCATTTATTCGAGAAAAAAACTTTAAAAAAAGTTTTTGTTGAGAGTAAAAAGTATAGAACCTTTAGGCATAAATGTTATCTTCTCCAAGGCATAAACTTTTTTGTTGAGAGTGAAAAAAACTATGCTTTCAGCTCTTGGCAAAACAGGGGTTGTTGCTGATTGTATGAATTTTTTTTTTTTTTTGGTAGTTCTGTATTCGGCAGGCTGACTTGGTTGTTAAGATGACACTTTGTAAATGCTAATAATTTTAGTGTCCTTTATCATCTTAGTTATTATTTATTTATAATAATTTTTTCTGGAATAATATTGGTTGTAATTTTTTATTTTTTACAAAATATACATCATTACAATTATTAAGTTTTTTTCTTTTTTTTTTTTAATAAAACAAGAATTTTTCTAACACAATGTATGTTTGGAAGTTTATTAATTACAACATTCATTAAAACAAAAATGGGCCGGGTTGTGCTTGTATATAAAATGTGGCTTAATAAAGTCAAGTTCATAATTCAAATTAATATGATTATAATAAAGAAATAAAAAAAAAAAAAATTAACATTATTGCAAGATTATGAATATTACATTATAATAAATTATCATGAAAGAATGAGTTGCTCATCTCGCACAGATTGTTGTTTATCTGATGGTGGCTAGATTATAAATATACATTATAATAAACGAATTATGAAGGAATGGTTGTTCATCTCGCACAGTCATCTCCATTAGATGGTTGTTGGTCTCGAACAGCACAGTCATCTCGAATATAATAAACGAATTATGAAGGAATGGTTGTTCATCTCGCACAGTCATCTCCATTAGATGGTTGTTGGTCTCGAACAGCACAGTCATCTCGAATAGATGGTTGTTGATCTCGAACAGATGAAAAAATATGGGCACCCTTTTTATCGTGGTTTTGGAGACTTTTTATTAGTTAAATTAATTTAATAAAAAAGTTATTTTTTATTAGATTATTTATAATAATTATTTATAAAAATAATACATACTTACAAATATAATAAGTTATACTTTCGCAAGACATTCTCTATTTATAGTATGCTGTTAACCCAAATATCTTTAATGGGTCGTCCTCTTCAGAACTTTCTAAATAGATTTAAAAGTAGTTTTGAAACATTCCAGTATCATTTTGCATACCTTTGACATTATATTCCGGAAGATTATTAATTATATGCGACTCCAACAATATCATGAACATTGTAACACTGATGAGCAATATCTTGGCATCTTGCAACACATATGACACGTACGAGGACCTATATCATTTGTAGAACTCATCAAAACTTTCCTAAAATTAACTTTTAAAGTTGTTTCGAAACCTTACAGTATCATTTTGTATACTTTGACATTTAGGAAGATCATATGCGACTCCAACAACATCATCAATCTTGTAACACATGAGCAATATATTGTAACACATGAGAAACGACGATCTATACATATAAAAAGACTAGGACACATGGATATGCCGAACCCTAAGTAACAGATTCACACGCTTTGAGGCCATATGTGACAAATTTTCATGCTTTCATGTTTTGCCATTTAGCTTGGATAGATTTTAAAATTTTCATAGCCTATTATATTTTCATTAGGATTGATAAATAATTTTTTTTATTTTATTTATAAAGCTAAATACAATTTTTTATTTTATAAACATGCAATATGAATATCAAATTAAAAGTTGCAATTTTTTTTTTAAATTTTTAAATATGTGTTTAATAATTTCAAGATATCTAATAGATATTAATTAAAAGCCACGTATACTTGAACTACTTCAAACCTCAAAAAGTAGAGTCGGGACTATGAAACACAGAAAGTTGACAGGTATAATTTTATCAAGTACCTAAAGTTCAGCATTTTGACATGAGAAACTCATTTATATTATGCATATATAAAAGAAACAAGTATGAGATTCTTACAACAAGTGCCCCCAATTCAATCTAAACCTGATGCACCTAAGAACAATGTTTATAAGAGAGAAATATTTAGCTAATAAGCACATAGGCAAACCATATTGCTTCAAAGTATTTAGAGTTTTGACATATTCTATTGCCCCATTAACACAGCCAATTTTGAAAGATCATACAAATTCGCCTTTGATCCACAATATCATCGAAAACGAGCAGTAAACTTCACTATTCATTCCCTTCCGAAACAATCATATATGAATATCTTCAATGTCAGTTATGAGTTCTGAAGTATTATTGGATTTCTTAACTACTAACTGACCGCATGCGCCACTTATGTCTTGGCCCATCTGCTTACGAACTATTGTTCGGATATTGTAAGTGCCCCTGAGGATTCTCTGGAATTTCAAGACCTTATCATCATCGCTTGTTCTGTATGGACTTAGAGAACCGATTGGATTAAAAGGTATCAAATTCACAACCTGTCAGAAGCAGCAGCAGAGGATGACATAAAATTCTATTATTACAAATTTACAACAGGTTCGAACGATATTTGTGTGTGTGTGTTAAAGGTTAGACTGGAATCCGAGTGGTGGTAATATTTGTAATAGTCCCTAGAGAAAAAAATGATCTGAATTTAGAGCTTTACAGATTGAAATGTCTCTAGCAATTTGCCAAGCTGGTGAGCATGCTGCTCCTCGTCGTTCACGCCATCGAGCATTATGTACTCGATAAATATTTTTTGCTGACTATAAAAAAAATCCCAAATGAGATTTTTTCCGAATGTAATCCCAAAACTAGTGTGAAAAAGCAGTTTAGAAGGACAAAAATAACAAGACTCAAAAGCGTAACAAAACCTGCTAATTTGATATTCTCGCAATGCATTCATTAGTTTTTCAAGAGGAAAGGCCCTTGCAGCAGGCATTATCTGACATCGAATGTTTTGAACTGGCGCGTGCAATGAAACTGCTAGGTTCAAGTTTGGTAGGTCCTTTTGTAGCTTGCTAATAGCATGGATTATGCCAACCTGCGAAAGATACATAAATTAGGAAATAGTTAAAAAAAAATGATTACAACAACAACAAAGCCTTTTAGTCCCAAACAAGTTGGGGTAGGCTAGAGATGAAACCCAATAGAAACAGTAGTAAAAAAAAAAAAAAAAAAAAA